CTTGTTCCTGTGGTGAGGAAATGAGGTATTTGGCTGTAAGGCAACACCAACTTTCAAGAAGTTTTCATTTTCCAGCTTTTGTATTGGGCTGTACCTTGAATCAGGCTGTGTATATTCACAAATGGATAGGGAACAGTCCCTGTTTTCAGGGATCATATGTGAGAATGTTAAATGAAGACAAGGAAATAGACTATACAGTGTGGCAAGTGGGTCTTGTATATAAAGAAGGATACATCAATGTTTATAGCACCTCAATTCCCAATAGCTAAACTATGGAACCAACCTAGATGCCCTTGAACAGATGAATGCATAAAGAAAATGTGGTACATATACACAATGGAATATTACTCAGTCTTAAAGAAGAATGAAATTATGGCATTTGTAGGTAAATAGATGGAGGTGGCAAATATCATGCTAAGTGAATAAGCCAAACACAAAAAAACAAAGGCCAAATGTTTTCTCTGATACGTGGATGCTGATTCACAATGGGGAATGGGTAGGGAAGAATAAAGGAACTTTGAATTGTGCAGAGGGGAGTGAGGGGAGGAGAGGGAGTAGGGAGATGGAAAGGATGGTGGAATGAGATGGACATTATTACCCTATATACATGTATGATTACATTAAATGTAATCATACATGTATATAGGGTAATAATGTCTGCACCATGTACAGCCAGAGAAAGGAGAAGTTATGCTCCATTTGTGCATAATGTTTTAAAATGCATTCTACTGTCGCATATAACTAATTAGAACAAACTAAGAAATTAAAAAAAAGGACACACAACAATGGTCTTGAACAAATCCTATGTAAGGAATTCCCATCTGCCCCATGACCAATGACTAGAAGTTAGCCATTTTAAAGACTGGGATGGGGTGAGTGGCTGAGATATGTCAGGTGATCTAAGGTGAGATTTATCTGGAAGCCACTGAGGAAATTTCTTAGAGTTGAAAGATAGATAATGAATATGTGTGGATACAAAGATGGGGAGAATTGTCATAAAATAAGATTAGAACTATCAAAAGATTAGAGGCACAAAGAAGGTGGTCCACGCATGTAATGCCAGCTGCTCAAGAGGCAGATGCAGGAGGATTGCAAGTCTGAGGCCAGCCTCAGCAAGTTAGTGAGGACCTAACTTGCAAGTTAGTTAGACCCCAACTCAAAATAAAAAATAAGGGTTGGGGATGTGGTTCAGTGGTGAAGTACTGGATTCAATCGTCAATATCAAAACAAAACAAAGAAACAACAAAACAGAGCAAAACCCTGAGACAAGATTTTTATACCCTGCTAAGGACTATGGGTTTCCCCCCACACATCTATAGAGGAAAATTATGGGGAGGTTTTAAGCAATGGTGTTTTTCGTGATCACAGTTCCTAATATGACTGCAGCATAGAGAATGACATATGGATTTAAGTCTATAGGAAGGTGATATGTGTGGCAGGGGGTGTGGGTAGGATACTGTGGCCAGGGAAAATGTCAGTTGTCTGAATTGCAGTATTGCTGTCGGGGTTGGTGTAAGTGTATGCATGTAATGACATTCAGGAGATGGTAGTGGCAATCCATGGTGATTGACTGGAACAAGGATGGGAAGGTAAGAGAAGGAGAAGGTAGTGTTCTTACAGCCTTCCAAATGTTGACCTGCATTCTCCTTTCTTTCTTTACTTTGACAGCCTGATGACTTTGTGGGTGTTTCCATTTCCATATGTCTAGTTATCAGTCTGACCAACTGTCAGTTCTGTCATCTCATTTGGTGGGTACACAATGGTATGGAAAAAATGATGGGTCATTGACCTCAGAGCAGAGGCTATTTGCTAAGGGAAAGCTATTATCAAGAATTATGCTAAGCAGCTCTTCCTGTCAGATGGGTTTTGCTGTTCATTCTGATACATGATACATGTACAGAAAGATTTCAGGATTGGATACAGAAGGAGAGGCAGGTAGTTGGAAAATATGGAAAAAAGAGGAGAATTTTAAAACTAATAAAGTGCTGACAGGAAACAAAGGCAATAGAATGGAAGATTTGAAATGGGCATTTTGTTAATGAGAGAGCGAGTGAGTACTAAGCCATATTGTTGTTAAAACTCAATATTTCTCTAAGAGGCTCCCTGAGGACACTAGTGTCCTGTGTTCGTTACTCTGGGAAAAGTTTTCTGGAAAATGTTTCTGAGAAGGCACGTTTAACAATATGCATCTTAAAATTCTACTTAAGTTTGTTGAACCCAGAATTTTACAAATATATTTCTCCCTTTGTTTTTCACTAAGACAGTGTTAATAGTCTGTGGAACTGCTGTCTTACAGAAGGAGAATAGGATATGCTGATAGAATTAAGCAGGGATCATAGTAACAGGTAACATTTATTGAACATTTGTTATCTGCTAAGCCTAGTGTTAAACTTAACATGGACTTTTTAAAATTTGGTCTTCATACCAACAGTATTGTAAAATAGGTATTATTCTTATTTTGCTAACAATGAAAATATTATAAATTATTAAATAATTTGTTCAAAGTCACATAGGGGGAAACTTGATTCAAACCCATTGCCAATAAAATTGATACTGCTGGTTACCAATGATGAGTCCTGCTTCCTCACGTGTTAAAGTATAACATCAGAAAAGCACACCGAGGCAAGCAAATAAGGCAGTGTTTATTTAAGAAGTGGAACATAGACTTCTCCTGGAAGGGCAAAAGGGGCCATTTCTGGTATTCTGGTATCCCAAAAAAGCATTCTGCCTTTTTAAAAAAAAATATGTCCGAGGCTTCCTTTGTTCTCCTACTCTCTTCCCCTCATCTCTCTCCTTCTTTCATATATGACAAGGCCCAGGAGATGCTCAGTGGGATGGCCAAAAAGTGGGAAACAGGTGAGCTGGAGGGAGGAGTGATCTGGGTAGTAAGGGGGTCCTGGGTGAATTAATTAGTAATTCCAATCTGCTCAGGAGTTGCTTCCTTAACAATTCTTTAGGATGGGCAGTAGAAGCCCTGCTTTGGGAACATTAACATTTCAATCTTGCATCAGCACAGTTTCCAATCTTTGGACTCAAACTGATTTGTTCTGTTTTCTTCAATCTGGCCCGATTTATCTATCTACCCTGACTACCTGTTTTTTAATTCTGGCTTCTCAATAATGATAATAATAATAATACCTATCTCATTATGTTGATATGAGGATTAAAGGAAAGAGTTCATGTAAATTAATTTTAAAGCTTAAATATCTGGCCCCTTGTACTTTTTTTTTTTTTTTTTAACATGTTACAAGATTAAGATCCATGGAAAGTTTGCAGCCACAGGTGTTACGGAAACTCCCTTTGATCATGTCATGAGGGAGACAGGTTTTTCAAAGACTGAAGGACCAAATAGAACCAAATACTGAATATTTTCTAATTTCATAAACAGTGAACCCTCAGTATATGCAGTCAGTGGGCCAGATATTACACATACATTACCTCATATTATAGAAGAAACTTAAGCAGGAGAATAAAAAATCTTGCATTAGAAACTAAAGCAGGAGATGAAAGAAAGAGAGAAAGAGGGGAATAAGAGAGGAAAGAAGGAAATCTAATAGTGTAATGATCACATAATTAGAAACTGATAGAACCTACATTCAAATTCAGACAGTCCAACTCAGGAATTCCTGTTTTTAATCCTATAATACTGCTTCCTTGCCGCCATATAAATTAATGTATACAACTTTCCCTTGTTAGTAAATGTAAGCATATGTCTCTATTAACATATGTAAGATATTTATTTTTTCATGCATTATCCATGTAAAAGACTTCTCTGAGATTGTATACCCAACATTGCTACCGCTGGGTCATATTTTTGAAGACAGAGAATGTTTTTTTGGAGGTAAAGGTGTGAGGAAAGGGTAACTTAAGGAATTCAGGAGGAAAAGAAATGCAGTTAGGTAAGGAAGTGACCCCAGGCAATTGCATTAGAAACAGGGTAGATGTAGGTCAAGCCAAAATGGAGTTCTTTGTGGGATCTGAGGCTGAAAGGCACTGGGTGATACACATATATTTTATCTCCTCCCATAAATAAATGTACATCGAATCTATTTCATTGTTAGTTTTGCTTTTTCCTAGAAATGTAGTGGCTTATGTAAGGATACTAAAATTATATAGTTCTGAGTTTGAATTTTTACTCTATCATTAAATGCAACCTCAGGAAAATTTCCAAATTGCACCAGCTATAAAATGGGAATGGACATACCTATGTCCCAGTTTATTTTCCTAAAAGACAAAAGAAATAATATATAATGTGCAGGTGAGAGTAGGTGAACTTTTATTATTGATAACTATCATATTTTTTTTTGCTTTCCTGAGTTTTATGGGCTCAATTTGAAAACATTAATAACATTAACTAGGCATTTTTTTTTTGTTCAGCCTTTTCATTTTTCTCCTATTTCAGAGAGGTAGATTCTAGCAACTTTGTGTCTCCAGGAACAGAATTGCCACTTTAGTTGAGCAGGTTAGTTTGCAGTTAAGAAAGCTCTGTTACTAGATGATTTTTAGAAGCCTATTACAAAAAAATAGATTTGAAGTGACTTTATTCTGTGCAGGAATTCATTTGAGCAGTTTTATCTAAATTGTTTACCCTAGCCATGTGACTTGGTGTCAAAGAAAGATTCTTTAGGGAAAAAAAGTAAAACAATAAATCATTTACTTAAAGATTATTCAAATGACTATGTCCTACATTTTGTTAATAAGTCAAATCTATGTTTATATGGAGAAAAATGGTAATATTTTTGAATTGATTTAGGCAGTTATTAAGTTGGTATAGTCTAACTCAGGTAGGACTTTGCTTAACTCTTGCTTCATATCAAGGTGCTTTGAAAGAGTCTCATGTGCCCTCTTCATGTTGTAGAGAGCAAATGATTTCAAGTGCAAGAAATACAATTTTCAGGAGTTATGTGTATAAAGGTGTCACGGGAGGTTTAAATGCAGTAGAATTATAATAGAAATGCAATGATTTACTGAAGATCTTTATTTTTTTTTTTAATTTGCAGGATGAGTAAGAGATACTTACAGAAAGCAACAAAAGGAAAACTGCTAATAATAATATTCATTGTAACCTTGTGGGGGAAAGTTGTATCCAGTGCAAACCATCATAAAGGTAAGCTCTTCTGTTTCCTTTCTCAGCTCAGTGCTGAAGTGGACTCCCCTTAACACAGACTGTCTTGTTCTGCCTTCACTGGTCTGTTACATTTTATTAGGTGTGGGTCCTCTCTGACAATTTTCTTTAAGTAAAAATGCAGAGAGTTATCCTTAAAATGGCTTTGGTAGAGGAAACATGGTATTTCCAAGATTACTGCCATTTCTATAAATGCTGTTGAAAGAGTATAAAATCTTACCTCTATCTTTCCTTCCCTTTTAAGATAGTAATGTTAAAAATGTTGAACTGGTGAGTAATAAAGATGAGTTTCAGATTGCTGTCATCCTCATAAAGAAGGCATCTTTAATGATATGTATTTTAATAATACATATAAAATTCCTTTCTACACTTTTTGTGACCAGAGTGTTTCTTCCACCACCATCTGGACACCTCCCCTAGCCCCATCTGCAGCAGGCTCAATTCTGCCATAGAATAGAGTGGGGATATTTGTTCTATATACATGTGCTAAGCTTGACAGCTCAAAATTATGCCCTTCCTGTCCTCTTTCCTGGCCATCAGGCTCAGAATAATGAATAACTGCTTTATCCAGATGAGTTAAAATGGGGCTATTTCTGAACTATACCTACTATAATCAAGTATTCATAACCTGAAAAGTCAATTTAGATTTTTCTATGAAATATGGTTTTATAATTCAGTTCTAAGTCCACTATAAAGTCTAGAGACCATCAACTTACTTTCTTATTCTACTTATGGGAAAAGGGGGAATTAAGACTGCTTTGAACCCTATAACACTTAAATTAGTTACACATGTGCATTAATTAGCATTATATGGAACATTAACACCAAGGAGAGGAGAGTTGTAATATGAGGGAGTGATGCCTATAAAACAAATCTCTTCCTCTTGTATTTAAAGCCCAAAGAGATATCTTTTGAAATAGAATTTTATGAAGAATTCCTTCATATAATTCTGGTTTTGACCCACCATGTGTGTATCTTAATTTACATAATATTTTAAATATAGCATACTATTAATCAAACATTAAATGCTTGACAAGCTTAGTGATTCAGGAGGCTGAGAGAGGAGGATTGTAAGTTCAAGGATAGCCTCAGCAACTTAGTGAGACTCTAAGCAACTTTTTGAGACTCTGTCTCAAAATAAAAAAAAAATCTTTAACAGCTATTATCTATGTAAAATTAAAAAGATGACGTGAAGAATAATAATAAAGAAGAGACAGAGAGACGAAGTGCAGAGGTAGGGAAGGTGGCAGAATGGCTCTTTGTCCAAGAAGCCACGTTTATTTATACCAATAGGATATATTAGGTCATTAGTACCATAAACACATTATTGCTTAAAGTATCAATAAGATTGCTTATTCTGCAGTTACATTTCACAGTTACAATATGCAATGTTAGGAGCTTTGTCCAGTTCTCAAGAAAGTCCATTGTCTGAAATTACTGTTAGGCGAGCAGCTCCAGGAGCACCAGAGCTTGGTGAAACATTGTAGTTATCTAATAGACAAGTTCTTCTATTCCTAGGAGCTATGTGCCTCCAATCAAGGTTGAGACTTGATGAGGCTCTAACAAAGAGGCATCTCAGGGCATTGCCATATCAGCTAGACATAACACATATATTACATATATTATTAGATCCTAAGAGAGATTACAGGGCATTCTAAGGGTGGGAAAATAGGGTGCCTGCTACCCTCCAGGAGTTTTCTCACCAGGGGAATGCTTCCTTGTACATTTCCACGGTCAGAATCCCTACAAGATGCCAAGAAGAACATTCCCTGTGGTCCCACATTTGCAACAGTGAACCAATTTAGGGACAAAGTAGTGTTAAATACCTTTTCAAAGAGTTGCACACTGTTGGGGCCCAGCCCCGACTTGAGCTTAACAAGAGAAGACACTATCCCTATTGTCCTTGAAGGTCATGGTCACCCCAGTGCCCATTCCTAACCTGTTTAACTGAAAGAAGTAGGAGGGATTCATAGGAATTGTGCCTGGCCCAGAAAATCTTCCTGAAAAAGATCTTTCTCATCTAGAAAGCCAAATGGTGAGGTCTCATTCATAAAGATGAGAATCATTCATAAAGTTGCCCAAAGTGTATATTTAATACTGTTGTTACTCTACTTTTAAGAATTTTTAAGTTGTTTTATGTTCTATGCTAACTCCAAAACTAAGATCCTTTCCTATTATTTGCCAAGAACATACTTGAATACAAGAACTTACGCATTAGGTCAGGAAACTTGGTTAAATTACCAAATCCAAGACATTTTATAAGGTAGAGTTTGGGGTTGTTTTGCTGTTTCATTTCCACCTTGCCATTTTGGGTGAAGATTTTACAAAAGATTTCTCCCTTGCTCTTTCTCCCTCCTTCCCTTCCTATCTCTTTCCTTTCTTTTCCACCTTTATATTTTTCATATAAAATGCTCTAATTGTATTGAACTATTTTACACATAAAATAGTAAGGGTAATGAAATATATATATATATATATGGTAGTCATAGCACAGGTTCATAAAGTGAACATTACTAATGCTCTCACTTGCTAATTGAGAAATGTTGCATTTGATACTTTTGAAACTGGCTGTCTCTGCTCTGGCTTCATTCCTACAGCTCCTCCTTACTCAGGATAACCATCATTCTAGATGTTGCAATTATAATTCCTTGGCTTCTATTAATAATTTCACTATAAAATATGGATATGCTTCTCCAAATGGCATTTTGCCTACCTCTGGTTGTTTTTAAATTTATATAAATAGTATAATAGTATAAATAATTTTCTTCAATTTATTATTTTGTCCAACAATGTTTGTTATATTTGTTACAGTTGATATGTAGCATTGTAGTGATAGTATATTAGTTTTTTTTTTACAGTTGATCCACATTTTATTATATGAAGCCTCCACAGATTCAGTATTTATTTTCTTGTATGTTAACATTTGGTGTTCAATTTTATTGCAAATCTGAGCAATGATTCCATGAGCATTCATGGCCTTTTCCTTTGGTGTACTTGTGCAAGGTTTTCTTGAGATAACATTCTCAGGAGCAAAATTGCTGGGTCACAGTGCAAACATATCTTCAATTTCACCAGATAATGCCAAATGTTTTTCCAATGTGATAGTCCTAATAAAGTTGTTTGAGGTATTTTCTTTTCATCTTTTCAATCCCTGTCGTTATATTTCCTCTTTCAGTCTGAGTATTGCTTGCTTGTGTAGTATATCTTTGGTTTTTGGATTAGTGTCCCTAGATTGGTCAATTTTATTAGATTTCAAAGGACCAGATTTTGTCTTTTCTGATCCTTACATTTATATATTTTTTCATTTCTTTACTTTCTGCTCTTTATTGTTTCATTAATCTATTTGTTTTTTTACTTGTATAACAAACCCTTTAAATTATGCTTACCATAGGCCAAGCCCTTGTTTTGGTGATTTAAAACTTGGATTTTTTTCAGTGGTCCTATAAAAAGCCCTGGCCCCCTAAGATTTTATATACTATGAGTATTAGATCTAAAGTTATTTATGTAGTTAATTTCATGGATCAATAAATAATAAAACTCATCTCCCCAAAGACCTAAATGGTTATAGTTGCATAAGTTCTGCTTATTAAGCTCTTAGAGGACAGAATGGTTGTGGCGCTATCTCCCTAGATATGAAGTCAAGACCTTGAAGACACCTGAAATATCTGGCCCTTGGAAAGATGAATTTACATTCTAAATGATAAAAATTTTTCTGTTTTCAGAAGGGGCAGAAAATATCTTTCTTTCTTTTATATACATGGACACATTAGCTATTCTCTGTCACTCACCTAAAGAGGAGTCATTGTTTACCTTGGACATTAGATGGACTTTTACAAGGGACAGAGGGCAGAGCAGGCGGATTCACCTACTATTTACTGTGAGGTAGTGAATAAGGAATCGGCTTTTGATCATACACCTCTGTGAGTGAGAGAAAGTGTCTTATCGAGTTGCTTAGTGCCTTGCTTTTGCTGAGGCTGACTTTGAACTCACGATCATCCTGCCTCAGCCTCCCAAGCTGCTCAGATTACAGGTGTGCAACACCATGCCCAGCTTTATAACCACTTTTACAGAGCAGACACTGATAAGGAGATGTTAAAGTATCATCACAAGTTGCCTAGTTGGTAAACAACACAGACAGGATTCAAATCTAGGCAGTCTTATACCACACAATTGTGATATTTATTGAGTAGTGAATTTCTTTCTATTTATACTATTTGGGATTTGGTTGACGTCCTGAGTCTCCAGATTAGTATTTCTCATGAACTTTAAAGTTTTAGACTGTATCTCTTGCCGCTGCCTCTCCACAGCTAGAACTGTGCTTGGTGTGTGTTAGGTGTGGTTCGCCTCTCACACTGTTGTATCTCATCACTTTTCCAGTCTCTCTGTGCAGTGTTTGGAATACTTATTCTTATCATCTTTATGCCATACTAATCCTGTATTCCCTTGGTTCTAATCTGCTCTTTAATCCACATAATGAGTTTGTTTCATTTATTGTATGCTACTAAAAGTTTTTGTCTTGCTAATTTGTTTGCATTTGATAATTTTACTCTCATGTTTTCAGTTTCTTCTTTACACCTATATCTATAATATATATTTTCCCCTAAAGATCACATTTTATAAAATTTTTGTGTTTTCTTTCCAGTGACTTTCCTTCTATATTATTTATTATAGAGTTTTGTGGGTTATTTTTTAAATTTTGTCAGCTAATGTCTGTTGGAATCATGTTTCTGAGAATTTTTTTAGGCCTTTGATCAGGATACATTCTTCTAGAGATGATTTGCATATCATATATCTTAGGGTAGGGTTCCCTGAAAGCAGAGCCAAGTCAGGAATTCTTATGTGATTTACTAAACAAGTACTCTCAGGAGGAGACAAGGAAAGCAGGATAGAGCAGGGATGAAAACCAAGTACAAATCAAAGAGAGTCTTTGCTGGTGAACCTGTAGTAGTCTGGTTGTATGGTAAGGCTTTGAAACATTTGCA